GTGTAGAAAGATCTGCCTCTGTTGTTTTCCCGGATAAAATGCCCATAAATGATTGTGTGGAGTCCAGTTGCAAATTAGTGCAAAAATCGAGCGGTTATGATGATGTTAGCACAAATACACCAATAATCGAAAGTAGGGGGACATCATCAACCTCTCCTACTAAAGTAAGTTGTTTATTCCTCTCGTTTGCAGTGTAAAAATTGAATATATATATATATATATAATATCTAGATGCTTATATTCTTGATATGACGCGTATAACTTGAGCACTAGAACGAATTAACATCAGGACCCAAACCAATATATGATGAAGACATTGGTCTTGAGTGCTGTTAAAGGTATGATGGTAGTTATCACTTCCCGGTTACCCACACCGTAGAAGGGTTCTTCTGGCGGCACCTGAAAAGGAAATTTGGTTAGGGATGGCCTTAGTGACCACAGTGCCCAAGGGACAACTGCTTGAGGTCGGCCAGGCACGACCTTTTAGTGATTAATTTTTGTGTTAGCTCCGTACTTATTGGAACCTTACCACCAGAGACGGAAATAGATGGAATGAGGCGATATGTGCATTTTAAGCTCGACCTCTTCCAACCCCACACCCTCCTTATGAGAAGGTAGTATCGCTGTTATGCTGGTTGTCTGAAAGAAATATCTTACTGTTGTTACACCTCTGTACAGTCAGCAGTACGATTTCACCTTCCGAGCTTGGGTTTGCTGGTTTTAGTCTTACCGTTCTTCAACCAACCTGTATGGTATGGTAGGACCGTGAGGAACGATTGTCCAAACCAGTATGGCTCGACTGGTTCATCACGATAGACTAGCCCGACCACTGTGTCAAGGTAGCAGCAACGGTCACGAATATGTGATAAGATTTATGCAAAATATATCCGCCGTCAGCCATTTGTAAACATGGGACAGTTTACTAAAGAACTAGAGACAGTTGTGTGTATTAGATCACTAGTTTGGTGGAGATGTTCAGCCTACTGAATCATTTATGTCTTTTATCAACAAATTCTGATCAACTTTTTGTTAAGAATCTGCAAACGTCAATTACGACTTACGGGAAGGGAAACCAAATCTATATAAAAGGTAAATATATGGTTAACTTTCAGTACATTCTCGTTACGTTACTGTATTCAGTTTTAATTCATTTTTACGGTGATTGTGTTTAGTGACAATAACTTAATTCATAAATCTTGATTGTTGAAACTAACATATAACCGATTTACCCAAAATCCATTTTCAATTCCATTGGAATTATTTTCAACGAGGCTTTCGTTACAAAAGCGGACTTTGTCTGTAGTGAACGAGGCAAAAAAAAGTGTGAAGGTGATTTCATTCACTGTAGTGAGGTCGGAGTTATGAATGTATTAGTGGAGTACACGAAATTATCACTTTTACTATTCTAGATTATTTGATAATATAGATATAGATTGTGACCACGTGGTTTGAACTAGTAACTCAACATTTACAAGTTCTTTATGCCGTGAAGTTAGGTAAAACGGTTTTTAATGGCTCACAGTTTTTTTTTAATTATTACTAGAATTAACTCATATTGCTTACTGTTTTGTGTTTATACTTTGTTACTAGGATGAGTTAAAAGCAGCATTGGATGCAGCATCTATATTTATGGGAGTTTTAGTTACTCCGTCATCCGAAATTTCCCGTCTCAGAATGGCTATTGCTCAAAGTTTGGGTTGCGTAGTAGCACAAAGTCTTCTTCTATCCGGTGCTGATGAGATTCTTTATGAAATACGCTCCCAATCTAGTGGGTGAAGTAAATTCCAATCAATAGATATTAGTTTACTTCAAATGACAATCCTTGCATTTTGTTCTGGTTCTTTCATAATTTATGCTCTCATATTGTTTATCTTTTGGCTCTTCATAGAGAAGTAGATTTGTCATGTTTACATGTAAATTGTTTATTAATGTTGCCCCATAGATTGTAAATACTAACGTTGTGAAAATAAACGTTTGCGATTAAAATAGATTTAGTTATTTGAATAATCTTAATATTTTAATTGTTCTGAACATATGTTTCTCATTTTGATGCTCTAAATTTCTATTATATTATTAGGTGTTTGAAATGCTTCGATACAAATCCCGTCAAAGCATATTTTACATTCCCAAATGCACAGTCCTAAGTGGCGATTCGTTGACCATAGACTCTAATTTATCTCGGTTTTTTATCATTAATATATATCTGTAGCTTCCGTTGAAGAATTATCCCCGACTTAAGGTGATATGTTTTGTTATGTCACCCAAGTTTATCATCGTATTCAACTTACTGATGAGTAGTAGTCATACTCATACGCTAAACCAAAAGTTGTACTTTCTGTGAAAGTTAACAAAATAACATTTTCCGGATGTAAAGTTGACGTTTTGTATTTTTTGTCAGGTTTTCTATACTACATCGATTTAAGCTTAGCAAACATAACTTTTACTTTCATTCAACTGTTCGATTATGTGGTTACTCCGTTTTCAAAATGACCCATAGGAACTGCAAATATGTTACCGATTGTAGGAGTTGAGTATAAAACAACTTAGTAATATATTTAGAATTGTACTGGTTTATCTAGTTCATTGAATTCATGATCAATCTATGCCCTCTTTAAAACTCATATTCATAGTGGAACTGGTATTAAGTTGTCTTATTGGAGATTGAACTTCAAAGTTATATATCTTACTAAAAAATAGGTTTTTTTTTCTTATTTTAGAAACATTGGTTCAGTCTTAAAAGTAAGTTCTTGATTGTGGATATTTTAATATGTATATAGAATGATATGTGGATAATTCTATGTCCTGTAAATGAAAAAATTGAAAATTGCTATCAAAATAAATTCGTTTTATTTTACTTCCAATATTTCACGTTAACTCCTGATCTGTTGTTATTGTCCCATCCTAAGTAAATGGCCAAATTTTATTTTGTTTACAGTTTTCGTTACCGTGATAAATAGTGTATTTCTACCTAATCATTCATTGGTCTTATTTTAGAAAAAACAACATGTAGTATATGTCCAAACTAGTTCTGTAACCTATCTCGTAGGTGTTCAAGTGTGTGTTGTGATACGGGCAGCTCATTACAATAGAAAGCTTACGCATTGTACGGAACATTAATTGATGGGTAGAAGCAAGGTATAATGTGACTAAACCAAAAAGTGACATCATTCCGTAGTCACTGACTGTTCCGAGCCACGTTGGTAGACGGAGACTACTTAGTTGTCATCCACGCGGTAATCGCGGTCAGTGGTTGAAGACTTTATATGGCTTAAGGTTGGTTGTGGTGGTATAGATGTATTCACTTTAAATCCAGTATTCACTTTCTATTCTGTATTTTCTTACCATATTCTCAATATTTAGTCTTTTTCATTAGGATAACTACAACATTACTCATGTTAATTTTTCTTTGTGCCATTATGGTATGCAAACTTAGGCCACCAAATATTTGTGCTAGGATTTGCGCTGGTTATGAATGACTGATTGGATTAAAATTATTGTTAGACTCGACCAGTCACATAAAAAGCTTTCCAATATTTCTTATGATCATTACTAGCGTTTAGGTGTAACTGACAAATCACAGATTGTCTAAGTTGTTGGGAGTGATTGATGTAACCTATAAATTTCAACCACTTAGTTGACGCAAACACACGGGCTGCTTCTATATTTTCATGCGAACAGTCGAAAAGTGTTCGATGACCTCTGGTGTGTTGTTTTTTCGAATAAATTATTTTGTCATGACTTCTCTATGATTTACTTATGTCATAAATCCGATTCTTAGTCATTATGTAATCTAATGTTGTTGGCCTCCAGTTGTATGAAAATCCTATGACCATCACTATAGGTTTATTTAGTCTCACAGGTCACCTGAATCTAAACTTTGCTCCACTACAGTCCTATCTGCAGTTATTTATATTTTTGTTGTATAATTACTTGTAAGCCATTGTTCGACACAAGCTACTCTTGTGATTTACGTTTCCCAAGATATCGTTAATTTATTGCAGGCCTGTCACTTTGTTCTCTTCCACTTATGGCATAGTTGTTCCCATGTGATAATTTCTTAGTCCTGTTGATATGTGATCAGGATTTTGCCCTATATGGTTGGTTTGAACTGTGATTAAAAGCTTTCTGTTTGCTGGGTTGTGCTCCATTCTGACTATCAGGCGAGCAAGGATGGGAGACTGGATTCTGGACCACTAGTCATCTAGTGTTACTTTCGGTTGTTATCTCATACTTAGGGTGTCTCTAGTACCAGATAGACGATCTGATCAATGCTATGGATTTATCTTAAGATCCAGTCTCACCATCCTCAAGTAAACTAAACAAGGAAATAGATTCATTCTCATCGACAAATCAGTATATATTACTTACATGAGGTTATTAATATTAGGTTGCTGTAGGTTGCCGATAAGAAGCCGTGGATGTGGACTTAAATTTCACCCAAGTTGGAACTTATTAGCCATGTATAATTGGAGACTTCAGGGAACTAATGTTTCTTGTAGGATTTGAGCCCGCATCACTTAACTCTACAGTTTGAGATGTTACTACTGAGTACTCAGGCCACAACTAACCACCTAATATATATATATATATATATATATATATATATATATATATATATATATAGTATGGTTGAATAACTAGTGCTTGAACCTGCTCCCAGTTGTTTGATTGCTATAACACTAATTTCCCGCTCAATATCTGCATAGGTGACCCTATACAAACTGTCTATTGTTCTACGTAATTGATCAGAATGTTTCATACTTCACGTTTATATTGATTACTGTTATTATTATTAGTTGCTTTGTCGGTTGATCATCGACTTCGCAGAATATTTTTTGCTAATATTCTTCTCTGTATGTAGAAATAATTTCAATGCATTCGGTCAAATTCTAATTAGACCTATATTGAGTTTTTTTATACTTAGTGTCTACCAAAACTTACATTCAGTTATATTGTGTGTTTTTGACCACATATTTATAAACAACATAGCATAATCACATATGGACCATCAAAAGTCCAAGAAAAAACGCAAAGCTTACTACCGAAAATGTGCTTTTGGTTCAAAAAAATCTCGTCTGAATGATCAAAACGATAGTGTGTCATGCATTCCGAAAAATTTACAACCCGGCATGACCGGTTATATATTAACTTACAATCAACAGCAACGATTAGCACATATTGAGACTTATCGTTTGTTAAATCATACTTTAGATGAGATTTCTATTGAAAAGCATAAAAGTGGAGCATCTAAAATCAACAGTCCTGTAAATACAAACAATGAATTAGTTGGTTCTGAACCTAATAATATGGTTAGTGTTGAAAAGAATGATGATACTGATGACTTATACTCACAGTTACTTCGTGAAAATTGTTCAAAATATCCTGCCAATTCAAAAAATAAATTTGGTTTCTACTCTGTGAAAACACATATCAGTAACTGTTCTTTTATTCTTCATCAGACTAATTTACTTAGTGCTGCAGAACTTTGTAATCGTGTATTCGAAAGACTACTCTCGACTTCCAATGCAGAGTCTCGTTATGTTCTTCGTTTGATGCCTGTTGTAAACACATGTCGGTCAGATTTGCCGTCACTCGAAAATTGTGTGCTAAAAGCGTGGTCGAACTTCCTTGGCCTAGCGTCATGTAAAATAAATACAAAATGTTCTAAAGTTGAGGTACCTCTAGACCAGTCAAATGATGAAGAAAACGCAAATAATGATAACGAGTCCTCAATTTTACATGTCCCAAAACAGATCGCTTGTGAATCTACATTGAACGGATCGAAGACGTTTATGATTGTGTTCAAATCTCGTGGTTTCAAAGCTATTACCCGTGATGATGCTATACGCCGTACATTTGAAGCAATCAAATCAGTTGATTCATCTTGGAATTTATGCAATTCATCGCCTTCAGTTGTTGTCTCAATAACTGTCCTGTGTAAGGTTACTTGTATCAGTTTGTTAGAAAATTTCTTCAAATATCGTAAATACAATATAGCAGAAGTTTGCTCACCATCAACTCAATATGACTGTACAAATAACATAAAAAATGACGAATCCAAATAAAATTTGTTTTGCAATGCACTTCTCATTTCTGTTCTATCGAGTATTGGTGTTGATGCATGTTTTCTACGTTAAGATTTTATTAGTGATTTTTAACCTACTTCAAATTATTTATTATTCTTAGCAAGTTATTCGGGTTAGTCATATTATCTTTGTAGCAGTGGATCAATTATTATCCAATTAATCTTTTTCTAGGTTGATTTTAGGAAAACCATAGATATTTCTTTCCATGTGGTTACTTTTATTTGAATGGGTAGCGGGTTCACTAAATCCTGGATATCATACTGAAAGTAGTTTGGACTCATTGTGTGTTAATTTGGTCCCCGAATTTTTGTTGGGATACTGAATATTCTGTAGAGCTCTCTGGAGTTGAATATATGGTATATATGTTAAACTTAGTGAAAAACAGTACACCAGTTGCGATCCCATTCATCTGAGTTTTTTTCTGATTTTCCTAACCAGGTCTGTAAATTTAAACTTCCAGTTTACTCTGCCTTACGCGTATTGATGCACATAGGACAACAAACCTTTCTGTTTGAGTGTCATGAAATTCCTGATATTAATGTATACCATATCCTTGTTACATTATCTAAGATCTACGTAAAGAACTCGGGACCTCTTCTTCATCTTTCAGTACACAAAGTACGTTTTATATGTATTTGTTCAATGACGGTTGTGTTGACTAGGCATGAGAGAAAACAGGATTTTTACTAACAATTTTTATATGTTGCTGTACCAGGAGAATCGTTCATTTAAAGACAGAAGTGGTGGCGAATTGACGCCGTTTTCATCTACTATGCTCAAACAAATTGGATTATATTTAACATCAGGCATCCTTGCTACCAATATACCAGTAACCTACCCAGTTAAATAAAGTTTGACAACCGTGAACCATGTTAGGAATATGATGCACATTCAATTATATTAAGTAAGGGTATCTACTGTAATGTTATAAGATATTCTGAAAGGCCTCAGAGTAATTATTGCTACTTAACAGACTCTAAGCCAACTGACTGTGAGAATGAACTACATTGGACTAAAACACCACAGGCAATAACAATCGATCAGGTTATATGAATTTGTCAGGGACATTGTAACTAAATTTTTGTGGCGAAATAATTTCGGACTTTATCACATACACCGTTGAGTAATTAAGATTCAATAATTGTGAGATGTTTTCTCGATGTCTTTTGAGAGATTCAGTATGACTGAGAAACGGGCGAGTTCATCTACCAACTCCGGCTGTTACTCCTCTGGAGCGACTGCCGTCCCAAGCCCAGGTGAAGGAGGAGGATCGGACATGGGACCAGCATCCTCATCCCGTAGAAAACAACCTTGCTAAAAAACGCTAATCACAACAAACAACTTAAACTCTGTCCTGGAAGTTGAAGGAGGGATTATGATGCGTCATGGTGAAAGCCGAGACCTTTCCGAAGTCACGAGGACGATGTCCCTTCTGACAATCACGGCAACAACTAATTTAAGTACATGGAATATTCGGACTATGAGAGACCAAATGGTTGCAAAAATGAGGAAATACAACTTGGCAGTACTCGGAATCAGCAAAACCCATTGGACCAAATGCGGTAGGAAGGGGATAGATTCGGGAGATACTGCTGTACTTTGGTCACGAAGAAGAAAATGTTCTGCACACTCAGGAGGAGGGAATCACATTAAATGTTATTCAATGTGATGCACCCACAAATGTTAGCAACAACAACGATAGAGATCAGTTTTACGAGAGACTGCAATCAATCACGGCGAAGTGCTCAAGAAAGAACCTGAACATCCTGATGGGAGACCTAAACTCCAAAGTCGAAATGTGCAACACCGCGTATGAAAATGTTATAACTTGTAACCGCCGATTAGAGGGCAGTGACTTATCGATCGGATCAAGGACGCATAAAACACGTGCGAGCAGCCTAGAGTCCTGATTTGTCCTGCTTTCCGCCTAGCCCAGCCAGTTAAGTCCAGAATACCAGTCTCAGCCTCTGTAATATGAGTCATTTTATTCCAAACATACTGAGTTTATATACCAATCAGACAGACCACAACGTACCAATAAAATATGAAACAACATTTGTACAAGGATTAGCCAGATGTGGCTGTGAATGAGGGAGGTAGTAATTAATATACTGGGTATAACTCAAGAATGGTAAAACGTATAATAATAGTTTATGGGTGAAAATAAAGCTTATAATAAGAGGAATATGAATATGCATAGTTTAGTTACTTACTAATTATACAATAGAAATATACGTTTAGTATTGGTCCATCAATAGATTCCAAAAGTTACCATTCATTATTCGTCTCGGGACATAACAGAAAATATGCGACGACATGGACTGACTGAGTAAAAGGAACGAGAATGGTGAGACTTGTAGATTTATGTGCATTCAACAAAATAGTTATAGACGGCACTACATTCCCCCACAAACGAATTCACAATGCTATATGGGTCCCACCGAATCACACTACAGAGAATCAGATCAATCATATTTACATCACCAGAAAAGCCAAAGTCAGTGGAACGCCTGAGAACTTAGAGAGGTACTAACACTACTCCAGAACACCACCTGATGGTTGGCAAGATGGTACTGGTACTCAAGATAGTTCTCAGCAATATTTTCCAAACCTTACAAGATCTGCTAAGAGAAGACTAAACTATTATAGACGACAAATGTAAAGGGATCAAGGAAGGTACGTGGAGATAGGCTTAAGAAACCTATTTTGTAAATAGTGGCTTTAAAAATAAAGTAAATGTCGTTCGTGAGATACGTAGAAATTTACCATAAACGTTTAAACGACAAGACTGCGAGCACGATACAATCAACTCCGACTAAGAACCCGTCAACCATAACCTCAAATTCAGACAGATCAAAGAGTGTTATTCCATTGTATGCACAAAATGTATTTCCTTGACACTAAACGCGGCTTTCAATTATTTTCATCATATACTACTTTTCTTTTCCAACCATTGTTATTACCTGAGTAGCATTAAACTATCACTCTAAATCGGATCAATAGATGCATGATTTGTCGTATCAGATTGTCTTCTCTAATTAAACCGAGAAAGATTCCAAAGTCAACTGCCCATACATCGGTAAACCTAGCAACAATGAACTATACCTAACTGATAGTTTATTGCCAAAGTGTACTTTGGTGATACAAATATTTTAGTCTTTTAACGAACAAAGTGGTTTGAAGATCAACTGAATCCAGCCTAGAATGTACTCACGAATGTTAGGACTAACAACTGAAACTGAAACAGGCTCGCATGGTCCCTTGTATCGCATTCGGTTGTTGTGATTTGCCCGCATGTGAACCACAGATTCACTGACGTGCTTTAGCAGACCTTCCACAGATTGGGGAAAAGATCTTGTGAGCAGGTTTTTTTGTTTAAGCAATTTCGTCATTGTTCCTTTTGCGTACGGTCTGGCAATTCGGCACTGAGGGACCTTATCTGCTTTCCTCTCCAGGTTCTTTAACTTTGTAGCAGTAATAGAATTGACATTTGTTTTCAGGTCGTTGAAATTTCTTGCTTGCACATGAGAATTAGCGGACTTTGGAGTAGAGCGTAGTTAGATGAGAACAAACGAACGGACTGTATTTGTAATTCACCATCAGAAGTCATTCAAATACAAAGGAATAATCTGTTTCTGAAATTTCAGTGGTTGAATTGCCTTCTTTGTCCTTGTCCAATCTCCCTGGTTTACTATATTTCCCTTCCAGTTTTTTCGTTGTGTCATATTTCCTTCTGTTGCGGCTTTTACGGTTGTCGTTCCTCTAGTGCTCTTTTACACTTGCTTGTTTGCTTCTGTTTATTCAGCTTGTGCCTTGAATTTCTCTGTTCTGGTTAAGCTGAATTTAATATCAATATTCCTGTTGTAATTTTATTTAATCCTGACCAGTATTTTGATAAAGACAAATTCATTATGATGATCCTTCTTCCTACCAAGAACCTCCCAGCACGTTGAAGTCAGTGTGTGAATATAGGTCTAATAAACCTATTTTGTAAATAGTTTTTGATGGCTTTTGCATTTGTTTATTTCCACAATCTGTACATTTATCACTAAACGATTATACTTGTTGTTTAAATATGTGACCTTGACAACTAACTTCCTTCCGTTTTGAATTACACATAGCACGACATTGTTAACTGTGCATTAATAAATACACTCTTATACACACATGCCTCGTTCTATCATGCCTGTGGATATAATAGCTAAACTATCGATTAACTATCAATTATATTTATAGACTTGTGACATTCCTATTGCATTCTACGTCGAGAAAACTGGCTGGAGCCATATTTACCTCATTAAATTTATTAATTATCTATAATTGTGGATCTTTGGTACCAAGCACAACGGAACACGCAACAGCCAGCTGATTTAAGTAGCGACCATGAACCTTTATTTCGCGTTAATAATTTATAAGTTCCTTATTGTTATATTAACTTTTGGACGTAATAAATTTATTGCTATTCCTTTTTGGTTAATATACTGTTTGGTCCACCACAATTATCTGGTGAGCCTCGTGTTTACTCTAATTGTTATATTGTTTACCTTTTTACACGATCCACTGGTTTATTTTTCTCGTAATGTCCCCCCCACCAAACTTATTGATATGGATTCGCCTCCGGTAACCACTATTGTCGAACTCTGCTGAAAACATTTTAAGTTCAGTTAATACTATCTCAAACTTCAGACTCCCAACTTATGGAGCTAATAACCCAAGAGTCTGGTTTGCCCAAATTGAAGCTTTATTCATGGCTCGAGGCATACAATCTCAGGCAACAAAGTATGCGCATATAGTCGGCGCACTTCCCATTGAGATTGCGGCTGAAGTTGGGGATTTAACCGACCACGTGCCAGAATCGGAACCATATGATAAGATAAAGGCAACACTAATTCGACGCACTTCGGTCTCAGATGAGAAAGGACGGCAACAATTGTTAACGTCTTGTGACTTGGGAGACAAGAGACCCTCCCAACTTCTTCGAC